GGAAAAATAGTTACACCAAGACCGTGGACGATGCCAACAGGTTTCATCTTATTATCTGGATATGAAATCAGATCGAACACCATCTGAACTTCTCAAGATTAAGTAAATGCATGAACAAGAAAAAAGTGCATAAGCTGAGCCAGTTCTCACGGAATTTTGTATGTCTTCATAGGTATCGTGGTTTACTCCAATTTAACTGTGGTCAGCATATTGGGCAATGCTCAAAACCTGCTAAAACTTCCTGGGTTCCACATAACATTTACAATTTAGGAGAATTATGTCCAGCAACCATACGATGGATGGGTGAGAGTGTACTTATGTCCGTCGTATCGTCGCCAGGAATTACGTTAAAGGAAATATGCTTCCGCCTCGAGTTCGCTTTGCAAGCTGCCGCAGTGCACGATCTGGTATGTCTTCAGAAAGAATGATTCGATTGTCATTCAAATGGATATGTGGTTTGTTGGTGTAGAATGAGTGGTTCCAACACCAACAAATCACAGATCCATCAGAACATAGTATCCTTTTTTTAGGTGACTGTTCTAAAAGAAGCAGGATGCGTACAAGAAGTAGAGGAAGTTTTTGAAAATATGACGTTGTCGTCACCTTTTCAAAGTAAGCGTAGATTTATACTTAATATTTTTGACTTAACTTTTTCCTGCTAGATTAACTGGAAAGGAAAGGTTACTTTTAGAGACGCGATTCGAAAAGCGATGTTACTTTAGATGCAACAAGAAATGCTGATTCCAAAATTGTCTGGCATACTTGTCAAATATTCATTTTTTCCCCTTTTTGAGGAGAAAGTTTTTTTTTGCTTAAACATACTACCACAACCTGAAGAATTACAGTACTGAGTAGAATTGAACTTGGACACTTTCAGGTCGTTAGGCAATTTTTCAAATGAGCGGATAATATCGTTCTTTCCTCATGAATAGCACTAGGTCACATAAAAGATAGGCCTGAGATAAGCGTTTCATGCTAGATCTACAGCACACATCGCTTTCTGAATCATCACTCGACCATAGCTCTCCCTTCTGAGCTGAAGTGCCGCTGTCCCATTTTGTATCGGTTCTTGAAGATGGTGCAGGCGTTAAATCCTACTTTTTACCTTGTGCTTGAAGGTGACATATCTCGTCTGTCTTGAAAAGTCACCGCTGATCTGTTTTCTAATTTTTGGTTTTACATCTACACTTATAATAGCAGGAATAAGGAGTTTGAGATAGAAGATGAAGCAGCTCTTCACTTTTGAGATGCGTTTCAATGAAAGAGACTAGGAAAGATAAAGCGCACAAGGCATGTTTTGAGTAAAATCTTGGCATTGTCGTATACGTCTTCAACATATTCAAGATGTAACACTTCATAAGGCTTTTATTTCGGCTTGTCTCTTCTCAGGCTTGGAGTAAGTGAGATGTGATTTCTATGCTTCTCATCATTTGCACCAAAGAAGCCGAACGTCGAGTGTTAGCGTAACCTGATAGAGGTAATAAGATGTTGGCTTACGCTGGAATCTGAAGAAGTACAAGCATTATGCTTTATTATCTTGTAGTGAAATGAAATGCATGTTGCTTTGGAAATCTGAGTACCTTCGATTAGTTGAAATGCATTTTTTTTTTGCGATTCAAAAGACGTAGGCAAAGTTACATTTTTTTGAAATGCACAGAACTGTTTTTTTAAAACATCTGCTTAAATGACATAGCTTTACGACATAAGTTTTTTTTTTTGCAGAGTGCATATTGTATTTCAAACTGTTAAGAGCTTAACCTGCAAAATTGCATATTCTTCAATAATATTGCCTCTTTGATAAGTTAGATCCTAGTAAGCTCCACGTGCATTTTCAACTACGGTGTTTGACCACATTGTTTTTGTTGTTTTTGCGAACTAATAGATCTGAAGTGTGATTTTCGGTCTTTAAAAGTTATAACAACTCATGTTTTATATTTCAGAACAGTACTCTGAGGAGGTCATTGTATATCTTCTTCCCGTTGCTGGCTGTTTCGAAACATTTGCCAGAATATTTGGCGGTTAGTCTGCAGTTTTTTTTT